CACCCTTCACACACGAAGAGGGCGATTGTGAGAAACATGTTTCGAACAGCCACCTCTGTGTGCACTACCAGGGAACTAAACTAATACCACCGGCTACTCTACGTCGCCAATTAGTTCGCAACCGCCTGTATGACCGTCTGTGTGAAACAACAAATTGCGTAATTTGCCCTTACGGCAGGGACGGTGATTGCATGAGTTCAAGTACGATATACCTGATCTCTTGTAATAATTGAGGAGATGAATATATTGGCGAAACGGGCAGACCTTTGTGTATCCGTATAAAAGAACACCTAGATGGCAAACGAAAACTAAGACGAAGCATCCCACTAGGCACGCATAGGATACAAAAGCATAGCGAAGACGATTTTGAAGTAAAAGTCAATATCCTTGCACAGGAGTCCAAAACACCAGCGCGAAAACTTCTTGAGGCTTTTTGGATAAATGCCAAAAACCCTACAATGAATAGCAGGGACGAATGCCCGGAGGTCATACGCGACCTGATCGCGTATGTTCGCATCGAATTCTGATGTGGGATGGTGCAGTCGTGAACCACATGCAACTATAATCAGCTGTTCTAAACTTCCTCATTGGAAGTCACAAAAAAGCGGTGGGTTTTTTCGAGAAGTTGCTGATCATGTAATTACCAAAGAGTCCTTCGTCTTTTTGTAAGTGTTATTGAAGTGTTTGGCCTAGTAGATTGTATATCAGCATACCCTTCCAGGCTCTGAAGAAGGCGATACTGCAGAAACGTCAGCTAGCGTTGTATTGTATTGTGTTTTTCTACGGAAGTAAATGTATGCTGTTTAAAAACCTCGCGATTGCTGAACAAGAAAACGACGCATTCATATTCCAATGCCGAGGTTAAGAGAAAGTCGATCCTTGGAACTCACAGATAGATATGTCCAACAACGAAAATGATAATGAAAAGTCGACAGGATGTGGAAAACGGACGAGCTCAGAACTGTTGACGACTACACGAGTGGAACACAGAAATCAGGTGAAAAAAGGACAACAGGATTAAACAGAGACATCAATTATGTGCCAAATAACGACTGACCAGCCAATCGCTCACATGTGTGAAACACATCTACGACTGCAAAGATGTTGGACACGCCAAATGAATGCGAGATGGTGTGAACTTGTTAACAAAAGCTGCATGTGATGAGTAAAATTCTATGACAACTATGGCTCCACATATCACCATGCGTGGAATTGCAAAGCAATAAATTGCCTTATACAAAAGATATGGGCATTTATTAAAGGATAAAGGATAAAGCTCTCGGCGCTGGTCAATCCATAAGAGATGCGTCATGCATTTGACTTCATTGAGCATCGCTAGAGGGCAATGAATGCATATCTGGCCCAAGCAAGATCGCCGTGGCCTACTGATGCGTCGAGTTAGTGCTACTATCTTCCCGAACACATGCACGTTCAAGAATGTTGGTTAACAATGACTGTTAAACAAAACGACAACGAAACACAACGATACATGGGCGATAATCACCACAATAATACTTCATTAAACAGAAATGGAATACGACCTTATAATCCATGCTTCCTGCCCACCTACGTCCACCAAAACGGAATGCCTTGCGACCTACACCCTTCATCACAATGAAAATCATTATCCAATGCACTTCATCAAAACCGAACTATGAATAATACGTTAAATCGTAAAATCTGATGGGGTGAGAGAAGCATTCGGAACTCATTTTGAAATTTCCCCAACTATAAAGCTGTAAAGAGCTGTTGCATAGACGAAATAGCTGCTGCACCCAGAAAGGTAACGGAAGACGATATGCACAACTTCTACTTCGATCCCTTTGACAGCTACACCTATCTTCTTTGAGATAATTTAGGTATGTTGAAGGAGTGCAGAGCGGATATATCGATTGTCGTCCCTTTGGAATTCAGGTAAACTCCTTCGGTGGTGAACAACCGTGCACTGGTTCTGAAAGTACAACTTCCGTCATCTGCAGAACCTACCGTCAGTTCATATCAACTTAGTGGCCTCCCTATCTACACCTTATTGGTAATAATGCAGGATTCCATATAATTGGAAAAGCACCAGGGCCATGTTGTTGATGGATCTACAAACAATGTGCCTGCTATCGTTCGTTCACATGTTCTTTACTTTACTTCAGTAAGTAGTAGTAGATAGTAATAACAGAGCGTTAAACGAAGGATGCAAGTAAACAGGTTTTCGAAAACGATTCGTCGCGATGTATCGTACACTCACTGAAGTATTGCGATAGTACAAGAGCTCTCTTTGTCTCATTTTCATTCGCATAAAGAACACCTTCGATTTGATTATTCAACGTTACAGAACACGTAGTAGGGGCGACTATAATGAGAGCAATAGCTTTCACACACGTGGAAGAGGAAATTAGAAGTTCCCAGCAAGATTGTCGCTCAAAAATCACTTACACTGACGTGTACGCCAAGGTGTCGACAAGCAGTTGTGCCGAACAGTTGACATAAGTTGAGGAACACCATAGAGTATGAAGTAGGATCTAGTGGGTTCTGCGGACGTCAAACCCACAATAGAAAGACAACAGATCCTACGATTGGACTTCTACATAGAGACTCGATGAAGATTTAATTCATTCACACTCCATAACGTGACTGCTAGCAACAAACTAATGTTTTCAGATCAGTGTCTTCGTCTTTCTTATGTTGTATTCGAAGAAATAAAACAGTGAAAAGTGAACCAGTTTCACGCCTCGGATTCTTTTGTCACTAGACCACTTCTAAAGAAATCGTCTTTGTGAAAACGGGTAGTCAAACGGCTGAGGGTTTCTCAAACTATTCATAGGATATGGTGGTACACCACCACCATTCATTGAGGTGTTCCCAATGACCCAAAGTCGACAAAAGGACAAACGACAATACCGTTTTACATGGGAATAGAAACCGGAAATTAAAGTACTTTGGATGTAACGAAGAAGCGACACCAGATTTCTATTGATATCCTATCGACGTTTTCATTTCCATTACATTACTAGCTTAAATGAATACCAAACGAGAATTGCGCTCAACTTTTGTGAATAACTTATTTTCTACCACGTTTTAACTCTCTTAGTTGTACAGATGTATAAAAAATCAAGAACAAAACCTACGAGGCATTTCATCTCCTAAAATGGTAGCAAGATAAGCATGAGGCACTCCACTTCTCTGGAGAATTCGAGAAACAGCTGGAACAGTAGTCATTCCGTCTTCAACGACGATCCAACGCAGAGAGAAACATGAGCCAACGTCTGCGACAACAAGAAACAACAAAATAATTACGATCTCCTGATTATCTGACAATTTATAAAAGCCAATTGACTTTGAAGGAAAAGCGATAAAAGAAAAATCGGGTTTATTACAATATTCGGTTTGAATTCCATCACGTTGTAGTCGCTATTATATAAAGGATCCTATTTTCGTTGTTTCAAGTTAATGGCGTAGTGTTATCCAATATTAGCGGTTGTCATGGATATTACTGGATCACCTAGGTGGTTCTCATCCTCGTACAGTCATAATAAGAAGTTCGACGATTCCATCTGGAAGTTCACCTAGGAGTGAACCTAAGCCAGGAGTCTGCTATACCTGTTGCTATCTAGAAGTCCATCTGTGCAATTGGACGACCAAATAACGGATGAGGAAATCGGCGGAGTAGGCTTTGTCGTGTCCCTATAAGAATATACTGTGCCTGTTTATGGTATTAAAGCTGCATCGGATATCCTTCATTCTTCAGTCAAGAAGTTCTCGTATTTCCATAGAGCTGCTCGTTAAGAGAAGAAAACTGGAGCTTGGTCGCTCCAGAGAACACCTCACAAATTTATTGATTAAAATGCCTACTGCATAAAATCTTTGTGGGAGGGAATCATATAACGTACTGAAGCGGGTGACCCTCATGTGCGGTAATTTTTCCCAAGAACGATGGTCAACGAGATCTTGGTAACGGTAAACCACCCACCTTGTTATGTGCGCTTTACCATCTTTTCAAGAAGATCGTGCTTATGGAGGACTTTGGATGAAGTTCCGCCAGTCCGTAAAGAAGATTTCGGCATTAATTCTTTGTGTACTATCATATCTATACAGTCGGGAAAGGGAGAGCTCTTTCAGAAGTATTAGCTATCGATTGTCTTAACCTCTGCCCATTCTGCAAAAGTGTTCTACAGCATCGGAACTAAAATCCATTACACTTGCAATCGTCGGCCAAAGAGTGAACAACGTACTAATCACCCACTATCATAATTGCACCAAGCACTGCTTTTCGATCGACCTGTTCTAACCCTTTATGAAAAACGATGGCCAACGATGTGAAATCATTTCGTAGAAGATCTATGTATGAAGAGGGATAGTATGCTCATCGTTGGCCTATCTTATTAGAAGCCACCGATGTGTCAGTGTGCTCGTAACTAACCTTTGATGGCACTCTTTGGTAATGAAAAGAATGAAAACTATTAGGTACTGTATAATTTTACGAAAAAGAGATTTTGAAGTATCGAAAAAAGATGAAGGTTAGAGCTTTCGACGTTGATCAATCCTTGAGGGATGTACCATGCATTCTGCTTTGTTAAACAATGTAGGGATGATCGAATGTACACCTGGTCTAAATCAAGGACTAGAGGTGGCCTACCTATCTATCTAGTTAATGTTGCTAACCTGTCAGACTAATGTGGTACTGACTTTAATGAAGCTGAGATATTTGCAAAACTCCGGACCGCAGGTGTATGCGGTGGGGAACGAACGCGTTATTTTCCTTTCCAAGGCGTGGCGCGCTCACCACCACACCATGCGGGCCCTTCGTTTTGCCTGCCTTTCAGCTAGCTCTATCGATCTTTTTGCCATCAGCAATCACCCGTAAACGGGATTGATCTGGAGGGCCAAATCGGCAACGAACCCAGTTAAGCTGAGGCTGCAGTTATAATCACAATTTTAACTTATTATTTACTGCCTACTCTTTTTAACGGTAAAGTATATATTGCGAAACACAATAATTTGGTACTAATTTGCACAATTTAATCCTGTAGGAATAGTTTTATGTTCGACAGCCTACAAATACTAATTGATTAGCACCACTACCTGATCATATCGGCCAATCTCTTTGGCCTCTTGTACGTGGGTGTAATGACAAGAATCGTAGCATTCACAAAATCTTCGTTTACCGACTTCACCAGTTCATTTCTCCTATTGGCAGATTTGTTTTTATCGAGTAACAGAAATAAAGTTACGAGAGCCATTACTAGGAAGAGTAATCGATGAGGAGAAGAACTGATGAAATGTATTAGATCACATGTCTGCATTACTCCTACGGGTTACGCGTTCCTTGATTGAGCGGTGATAGCTTTGCCAGATTCCTTCCAGATGTTTTCTGAAAATCTAGAACAGTTATCTTTACCAGACCACCTTGGAGCAATCTTTAAGGCAAGAAATATACGTGGTGTTCCCAAAATCCACAATATCGCGCCCCAAAGCTGCTTGTTAAGGATTTGATGAATTACTTAAATAGAGTTTAGGAAAACTCGGTCATGCTGGGAAGATGCTACTTTCATAAATATATTAACCGGATGTGGAGAGCGTAGTAGCAGTAGAGAAGCCGTTCAACGCACCCAGGGGCACATTTCGCCTCCGCATCATTCCAACCGAGCCTGTCTATCTTTCGGAATCAAGGAATCGAATGAGTTAAGCGTTGGTATGCATACAGTGTAGAATGTTGAGTTATATAAAAACAGGTAAATAGAATATGCTGCTTAGTAAGTACACTAGTGAATCTATAGGAAGTATTACGCTTACCCAACTAGCCCACTTTAACAGTGGTGACGAAAATTTTACTTGCGAGGTTCTAATCGCTATTGATCGAAATCTAACAGACTACACGTCTGTTAATAATTCATAGTTATGCTCCATAGTCAGTAAATTTCGGATTAATACGATTGAAGTACAGCTCTGTAAAAAACTACGAAACGAATAGGTAGCCGAAAATTATACCAAATACAGAAAGTTAGAAAACTATAGTAATGAGAGCTCAAGGCTGATGACCTGATAGATTTCACACGCCCAACTTGACAAACTCCCGAAATTGGCACGGGTGATCCGACTAGTGGTCGGCGAATGAGTGATAATCGAATCGAATGACCATTAATCAGAGCAGGCATACTATTCGCATCGAAGGTACTATTCGATGTAATATCATCGTTGGCTGAATATTAAAACAGATATTTTTTATGCCCTAATCAGTTCTTATTTGCAGACATACCCCAGGTTTGTTCTGCTATATCAGACTGTTGGGCGCAGGTGGCGCAATGGTCGGACACACACGTGGAATCAATTCCAGCACCCATGGCCCACCAAGCCTTCCATCCCTCCGGGCTCATCAAATTGCTATCAGACTTGTCTGGGACGACAACAGCACTGAGCCGATGCATCCGGTAGGCCACCGCGAGTCATTGTAAAGGCCATACATGCATTCAATCACCTCCAAACGATGCTTAGTGAGGTCAAATGCATGGCGCGTCCCTCAGGGATTGACCAACGCGGACTGCTTTATATTAGGATGGAACTTATCTTTAGTTTTATTGATACATATACCATATCACTGCACTTGTGTAACCTGTACCAACGCGCGTGCAGCGAAATGGAGAGGTGCACTGCAATACCGAATGGATCGATCGCTGGTCCAATCCCGCATAAAGAATCACTAATTTCCTCATCACTTTCCTCTGACGGGAAGGTTGGAGACGAAGAATGGCTAAGTGAGTTGAAAAAATCTCGTATGAGATGAGCTAAGTGCAAATAGATGTTTGTACGCTAAAACCAACTCCTCTGACATTTCGTAGAGGGAACCTC